GGGGGCACCTCTCGGTTGGGGAGGAGGCTTTTGAAGACCTGTGGGTGCGGTTCAGCTGGCTGCGGCAGGGGACCGAGTCTCGGATGCACGTGCCGCTGATGGGGTCAGCGGGCTCCACGATGACAAAGGGTCGCTCCTCCAGGGTGGCCACCGTGAGGTGCTGGGTGTCGTCCACCGGCTGCAGGAAGCGGCCATAGCGGGACCACAGCGGGTACTTGAGGCGCAGGGTCTGCTGCTCCCAGCTGCCCACCTTGGGGATATTCAAGGGGGGGTGTGTCAGCATCCCTGGGGAAATGACCTGGCTTCCATAGACCTCTGTCCTCAGAGCAAGGAGTGGGGGCTGTCTCCCCCAGCCCCAGGAGCAAGTACCTCGTTCTGACTCAGAACGCTAGTCCCCTTTCTGAACCCTGGGGTCATTTTCTGTTAGACCGGAGACCCCTAACGCGCTCCTTTCTCACCCAGGACCCAGATTCCCCAGCTCCTCTCAATCCGGGACTCTGGGTGCCGGGGGACTCACCACCTCCCAAGTCCTGTCCCTGGTGAGGGAGATGACCACCAAGGAGGGGTTCACCAGGAAGCCGTCCTCGTTGAAGGAGTAATCCCGGTTATCCCAGGTGATGTTCATGAAGTACCTGCCCGGGAACAAGGAGGGGCATGTGGGGACCTGGGCTGGGTCCCTCGGTGACCAAGGACAGAGAAGGTCCTCTTTCCACGTATGCCCCCAGCTCCCAGCCGGAACCCCTCTCCCTCCAGCTCCAAGATGTGCAAACACAAATAGCCCCTCCATCAGGACTGTCCCCTTGGGGACCCAACGCCTCCGGGACAAGGTCCTGGCCCCTCAACCTGGCATTCAAGGCCCTGTGGCCACACTAGATCCGCCCAGCTTCCCACCCTCAACTCCCAACTCCACTGCCTTCGTCCACCCTGAGTTACAGCCCCACCAACAGTCCACGCCTCCTTTCCTCTTAAAAACTAAACTAAACTCACCAAAACACCCGTCACCAAGACCATTCTGAATTCTTAGTGACCCTATAGGACAGGGGAGAACTCCCTGCTTCTGGGGGTTTCCCAGACTGTAACTCGTAAAGCCTCATCTTTCTTCCTTGGACCAGCTGGTGGTTTTGAACTGTGTACTTTGGGGTGAGCAGACCAACGCAGAACCACAACTTGTCACCCTGCTGAGAACGCTCTATCCTCGGAGAAGTCCCATCCTTTCACATTCAAATCCAAACTGCTTTCAAAGCAACAAAGTCTCATGGCTGTCACATTGATGCAGACTTACAACAATTCTATGGGACTGCGTAGAACTGCCCCATAGTGTTCCCAGGCTGGAAATCTTCATGGGAACCCAGAGCCACATCTTTCTCCCACAGAGCGGCTGGTAGATTTAAATAACAGACCTAGTGGCTTGCCACCTGGCTCTTAACCCACTGGGGCCCCAGGGTTCCTCCCCCCACTAAACTTCCTTCAAACTAAGACTAAACCCCACTGCCATCAAGTTGATTCTGGCTCACAGCGACCCTCATGCTGCAACCCTTTCAGACAGTTCCTCATGTGGTGGTGACCCCACCCCACCCCACCCCTGCCACCCGGCCATAAAATTATTTTCGTTGCTACTTCATCACTGTCATTTTGCTACTGTGATGAATCGTCATGTAAACATCTGATAGGCAGGATGTATTTTCATTGTGACAAATTGAACAT